GAGTGTGTGTGTGTGTGAACGTGTGCCATAGTGTGCATATGGAAGTCAGGGGACAAGAACAGCCAGTGCTCTTAACTGCTAAGCCACCTCTCCAGCCCCCATCTTTGTCTTTTTGAGATAGTGTCTCACTGTGTAGGTTGTTCTCAAGATGGCTAAGTGCCAAAGATGACCTTGAACTCCTAAATCTGCCTCTACTTCCTAAATTCTAGAATTACAGGAATGCACTGCCCCACCCTGATCCGTAGGAATTCCCCTTCCCCCTTTCCCTCTTTCCCTACCACTCTGACGGAGGGTCTCCCTGTGTCCCTAGCCTGGAATTCACTGTGTAGACCAGGCTGGCCTTGATCACACAGAGATCTGCCTGCCTGTGCCTCCTAAGTGCTGGGATTAAAGATGTGCACCACTTGAGCTCTAGGAATTCTCTTGATCTCTCTCTGTCTTTCCCTTTCTTCTAATATTGTTCTCAAATGTTATATGCCTATGTTGTACCTCATCCACTGGACCCCAAAAAGACCACCGAGGACCCAACACACCAAAATGCAAAAGCAAAGGTTTATGGTTTATTCGGGCTTAAGCTCGGGCTCTCAGACCTCACCAACTGAACGGATCCATGCTGAGAGCCCGAGTAAGGGAGAGTGAAGCCTTTTATAGGTTTTAGACGGTGGGAGGGGGGGATACCAAAGATACATTTTGGTTGGTTCAAGGAGCCTGCACGCCAACATAATTTTAAACCGATTGGATGTGTAAGATGCAGCCCTGGAAGTTTCTTATTGGTAGGTGCTATTCTCAGGGCTGTGGAATGTGCTGACTGTTACCTGTGGGGCCAGGAGTCTCCGTTTTTACCTTATAGGGCAGTTTTTATGCTCGGGCTTGCTTAATCTATAGTTTCCTAGAAGCGGGGTGGGGAATAGCAGGCGGGGGTCAGGGCATGCCAGGGTATGTCTAGGAATGTCTAAAGCAGTAGCCAAGCATTTTACAGAAGCTAAAAGAGCAATTAGTGGGGATCTGGAGGGATTGGGGAGTAGCGGGTGAATGAAGAGGGTCTCAGGGTTCTACACCTAGATTGTCTAATTGCTAATTGGCTTTTCTGATGACCTTATTTTTATTTTTTAAATTATTACATTTATTTGTGTGTGTGCATGTATGTGTATACATATGTGGGTACACACATGCCATAGCGCATGTATGGAGTTCCCAAGACAACTTGCGGGAGTCACTTCTTTCCTTCTACCATTTGGGTCCCAGAGATCAAACTCGGGTCATAAGCCTTGGCAGCAAACACCTTTACCCACTAAGCCATCTTGCCAGCCCCCCTCTTTTTTATCTTTGATTTTTTTTTTTTTTTTGAGACAGGAATTCCTTGTAGCTCTAGCCAACTTGAAATTCCCTACATAGAACAGGCTGGCCACAATTTCACAGAGATTCATCTGCCTCTGGCAACTGAGTGCTGGGATTAAAGGCATGTGCCACCATGTCCAACTCTTTTTAATTTTTATCTCTGTGTGTGTGTGTGTGTGTGTGTGTGTGTGTGTGTGATGTTGTCATTTAAGCTTTTTGAGTAGCCAGGCACATGCATGACCCATGAATTAGGATTGTGGCATAGGTCTGTAACCCCTAGTACTCAGGAGATCAAGGCAGGAGGACTACAAGTTCAAAGCCTGGGAAACTTGGTGAGAACCTGTCTTCTTATAAAAAGTAAAAAGAGGGCAAGCAAGTTAGCTTAGTGGGTCAAGGTACTTGCTGCCAGTACTGATGACCTGAGTTCAAACCCTGGGACCCACATGGTAGAAGAAGAGTACCATCTCCCACAAATTGTCTCTGATCTTCACATGTGTACTTTGGCATGGGTGTGCTCCCCACTCCTCATACACATACCATTAGTTTAAAAAGTTATGTGTTATTGTGGTTGGAGAGATGGCTCAGTGGTTAAGAGCACTGGCTGCCCTTGCAGAGGATCCTGGTTCAGTATTCCATACGCACATGGTGGTTCATACTGTAACTTCAGGTCCACAGGATCCAGTGCCCTCTTCTGACCTCTGTGGGCACTGCACCCATGAGGTACATTTGCATATATGCAGGCAAAACATAAAATAAAAATAAATAATTATGCTTTTTGAGATAGTATCTCACTATGTAGACCAGGCTGGCCTTGACCTTAGAGATCCACCTGCCTCTACCTCTTGAGTTCTGGGAATAAAGGCTTGTGCCCCCATTCCTGACCTTATTTAAAAAATGTATTTTATTATTAGTGTGTTTGTGTTTTTGCATGATGTGTGTGTGTGGAGAGGAATACATGCCACAGCACATGTGTGGAGGTCAGAGGACAAATTTATGGAGTCGGTTTTCTCCATCCATCTTTATGTGGATTCCAAGGATGGAACTCAGGTCATCAGGCTGGTATGGAAAGTTCCTTGATCTACTGGACCATCTCACTGGCTCCTCCATCTTATTTTAAAATTTTTATTATTTTTTATGTGTATGAGTATATTACCTGCAAGCACGTTACTGACTGAGCCATCTCCCCAGTCCTAAGATTAATAGATAACAATAGTTATAACAGAGGCAGAAAGGAAATAAGATGCTCAGAGAGAAGATGGTGTTGGGGCTGATGCTTGAATGTTGTGTACAAAGAGCTGCAGAGGAAGCAAAGAAGGTACTAGGGACACAAAACTTTCCCTCTCATTCCTACTTTTTATTTTTATTTTGTGTGTATGAGTATATTGCCTGCATATATGTAAGAGCACTGTGTATATGTGTGTTTGTGTGTGTGTTATGCAAGTGTACCACATGTGTGCAGTTTCCACAGAGGCCAGAAGAGGGCATTGGGTCCCTTGGAACTGGATTTATGAATGGTTGTTAGCTGCCATATGGGTGCTGGGAACTGAATCTGGGTCCTCTGGAAGAGAAGCCAGTGCTCTTAACTGCTGGGCCATCTCTCCAGCCCCCTTGATTTTTTTTTTTTTTTGGTCTTTCTGAGACAGGGTCTCAGCTGTCCTGGAACTCACTATGTAGACCAGGCTGGCCTTGAACTCACAGAGATCTGCCTGCCTCTGCCTGCACCACTATGCCTGGCTTGATAATTTTTAAAAAATATTTTATTATCATTTTTATTTTTTATGTCTATGAATGTATCGCTTGCATGTATGTAAGTGTACCTGTGTCGTACTGCTCCCGAAGGTCAGAAGAGAGTGTCGGCTCTCCTGGAACTGGAGTTACAGATGGGTTTTAGCTGCCATATGGGTGTTCTACAAGAGCAGCCAGTGCTGTTAACCACTGAGCCATCTCTCCAGCCCCAGACTCATGTATTTAAACCCTTTGTTCTTGGTTTGTGATGCTGTTTGGGAAGATTGTGGAATCCTTAGGAGCCTTTCTGGAGGAAGCGTGTTACTGGGGGTGGGCTTTGGGAGTTTATAGGCTTGCCCCACTTCCTATTTGCTCCCTTTGCTTTCTGTATGTTGGAGTTGTTATACCTCTGCATCCTGCTCTGGCTGCCTGTTGCCTTGCCACTGACCCCCGTCTCCATTGTAGACTCTCCCTCTGGGTCCATAATCTAAATACATTCTCTTATAAGTTGCTTTTGATCATGGTGTTTTATCACAGCAACAAAAAACAACTAGCACATACATATTCCCAAACCAAGACAACATTGTAGCTCCCCGGCAATTTGCCCCCTCTGTCCTTTGCCAACCTGACTCTTCAACCCAGATAACCAACCAGTCTCAGGACGGTAGCCATCTTTGATTGATCTGCGGTTATCCTTTGCATCCAACTCCATGGTGTGTAGTCTGTCTTGTTTCATAGACTTCCTATTACATTTGTGCTGTAATTTCTTTTGTTTTTATTTAAAAATTATTTTTAATTTTATGTGTATGTGTTTTGCCTATATGCATGTAATGCCTGTGGAGGCCAGAAGGGAACACTGGATCCCCGGGAACAGAAGTTAGGTATGGTTGTGAACTGCTATGTGGGTACTGGGAACTGAACTCAGGTCCTCTGCAAGAGCAGCCAGTGCTCTCAGCTGCTCCAGTCCCTTCTTTTGTTTTTGACAGTAGCAGTTCAGTTTTTGTTGCTGTCTAGTAGTCCATGAATATGCCATGGTTAGTTATATCTATTCTATATTTGTAGATTTTTAAAATTTTAAAATATTTTATTAGTTTTTATTTTATGTGTATGAGTCTATTGCCTGCATGTGTGTGAGTGCAGCCATGTTATGCAATGCCTAAGGAGGTCAGAAGAGGGCATTGGATCGCCTGGAACTGGAGTCATGGAGTTACAAACCTGTTTTGTGAATATTTGTTTCCAGTTTTCATGGTATAAAGAATGCTCTGTAAGCTTCCCCTATGTCAGGACTCAGTTCTCTTTAGAAGTCCCTTCTTGACTAGAATTTAGAGGTTAGATCAACATTCTGTAACCAAGGTTGATTTTGCTCCTTGGTGGGGGGGCTTTGCTAGTGTACATGGAATCTTTTGCTGTTTTAAAACTTTTAATGTTATTTTCCTTTTCTTTCTTTCCTTCCTAACTTTTGTATTTAATTTTTTTCATTTATTTATTTCTATTTTACGTGTATAAATATTTTCTCTGCATGTATATACGTACACCTGTATTGTGCAATGCCCATGGAAGCCAGAAATGGGCCCCTGGAACTGGAGTTACAGATGGTTGTTATTCGCTATATGGGTGCTGGGAACTGAACCAGAGTCCTCTGAAAGAGCAGCTAGTGCTCTTAATCACTGAGCCATCTCTCCAGCCCCAGATGAAAACTTTTAATTGTCACTTCTAGGATAGGAGATGCCTCTGACATCTATTCTAGTGAGTAGAGACCCAAGGTGTTTTTGAACATCCCACTGCATCTGGGATGTCCTACCCACAGCAAGGAACTGCATGTTTGAAGTGTAATTTGGAGGTCTTTGGATGATATACCCAGGCTTATGTCCCTCAGGTGCTGGGGAGCTCTAGATGGCTCTGGAGTGCTGTGATTTCTAGCTGTGGGTGATCCATCATTAGACAAGATCAGCTTGTTGCACCACCCCTGGTGTCCTCTGGCTGATCACACGCTGGAGGGCACCTTGCATGTCCCGATTGCGCAGTGTGTAGATGGCTGGGTACAGCAGTGGCGTGAGGTTGATATAGATGAGTGACACAAGCTTATCTTCCTCCAGGGAGCGGCTGCTCAGAGGTCTGGCATACATGGCAGTGGCACAGCCATAGTGGAGCACAGCCACTGTAAGATGGGATGCCACAGTGTTGAAAGCCTTTCGGCGGCCAGCGCTATCTCCCACACCCAGAATGACCACCAGTACCCTGGTGTAGGACAGCAAGATCAGGATTAGAGGCAGCACCAGCAGCAGCATGCAGGCCACCAATAACACATTCTCCTGAAGGTTCCGGTTCCCGCAGGCCAGCACCAACACAGCCGGGAGGTCACAGAAGACATGATTGACAAGGCCTCCGTGGCAGAAGGGGAGCTGGAATATAGCTGTGGTGAGGCCTATGGCTAGGACTGAGCCCCCCAAACAGCAGGAAGCTAACAGGCCCCAGCAGAGCCCTGTGGTCATGAGCTGCGGGTAATAGAGAGGGTGGCAGATAGCCAGGTAGCGATCCAAGGCCATGGCAGCCAGCAGCAGGCACTCGGAGCCACCCAGAGCCACAAAGAGGCCCATCTGGGCTGCACAGGTGGAGGGGGCCACAGCTTGGCCCCCAGGAGGCAGGAGGAAGCCAGCCAGCATGCGCGGAGTGAGTACCAGTGTGTAGGCCACCTCCACCGCAGACAGCCCACCCAGGAAGAAATACATGGGGGTGTGTAAGGTGGGTTCCACCAGGGCCAAGCCCAGGATGAGCAGGTTCCCTGCCAGGGTGGCCAGGTAGAGAGGCAGGAGGAGAGAGAAGAGCAGCATTCGGAGGCCTGGGGGCCACCCGGAGAAGCCAAGAATAACAAATTCCTGTGGTGATGTCCAGTTGGGCTCAGGCCAGTGGCTCAGGTTGGGGCCTGTTGGAGGACAAGATAAAGAGACCTACCTAGGTATCTTTTCCCTCTTCTGGACCCAAGAACTCCATGTCTCCACAGCCCACCCTGTGATGGTTGCTTTTATTATTGTAGTTTTATTTTATTTATTATTATATTTATTTTGGTCTTTTTGAGGCAGGGTCTTCCGGTTAGCCCCTAATGACTGAAACTTGGATGGAGACCAGGCTGGCCTCCATCTCACAGAGATCCACCTGCTTCTGCCTTCTTAGTGTTGGGATTAAAGGCATGCACCACCACACCTGGTCTATTTATTTCATTTTTTACTATACTTTTTTTTTCTTTTTGGTCTTTTTGAGACAGGGTCTCCCTGTAGCCCCAGCTGGCCTGGATTCGCTATGGAGACCAGGCTGGCCTCAAACTCACAGAGATCCGCCTGCCTCTGCCTCCCGAGTGCTGGGATTAAAGGGGTGCACCACTATGCCTGGCCCTATTTATTTTATTTTTTAGTGATATGTATGCTTGTATGTCTGTGTGTGCAGTGCCTGCGGAGGCCAGAAGAGAATGTCAGATTCTCTGGGGCTGGAGTTACAGGTGGTTGTGAGCCACTCCTCTAATGTACATACTGGGAAATGAACTCAGGTTCTCTGCAAGAGTAGTATGTGCTCTTAACTGCTGAGCATTACCTCAGGCCCCTGATGGTTACAACTTGAATCATCTGGGAAGAGAGTCCCAATGAGGGACTGCCTAGATGCACTCAGCCTATTTGCAGGCCTGTGAAGGATCTTTTCTCTTTTCTTTTCTTTCTTCTTTTCTTTTCTTTTTTCCCCTCCCTCCCTCCCTCCCTCCCTTCCTTCCTTCCTATTTTTTTTGGTCTTTTTTGAGACAGGGCCTCCCTGTAGCTCCAGCTGGTCTGGAACTCCCAATGTAGACCAGGCTGGCCTCAAACTCACAGAGATCCACCTGCCTCTGCCTCCCAAGTGCTGAGATTAAAGGCATGCACTACCACACCTGGCTTTCTTTCTTTCTTTCTTTCTTTTTTTTTTTTAAAAAAAAGACTTTCTGGGACTGGAAACATGGCCCAGAAATTAGGATCATTGGCTGCTCCTGTAGAAGACCACGTTTTGGTTCCCAGGAACCACATGGCAGCTCACAACCATCTATAACTCCAGTTCCAGAGAATCTGATTCCCTCTTCTTGCCTCTGTGGACACTGGACCACAAGGGTGCACTTACATACATATAGGGAAAATAAAAATAAACAAAAAGGTGTGTGTGTGTGTGTGTGTGTATGCACATGCACATATTCGTGGGTGTTCATGGAGGTTGGAAGAGGGCATCATATCCCAGGAGCTGGAGTTACAGGCAGTTGTGAGCCACTCAATATGGGTGCTGGGAACCAAACTCAGGGTCCTCCGAAGCAAGAACAAACACTCTTAACCACCGAGCCATCTCTCCAGCCCCAAGGATCTTTCCATAGTTAAGTTAATTGATGACACATCCCACTGAGAGCAGCACCATTTCCTTAGTCTGTGTCCTGGACTGTGGAAGACTGAAGAAAGCAAGCTGAGCAGCAAGCATGTGAGATGCATTTCTCTCTGCTCTTGTCTGGCTGTGACATGACTAGCTGTGTGAAGCTCCTGTCCTGACTTCCCCACACAGTGAACTGTAACCTGGAATTATGTGCTAAAAGAAACCCTTCATTTATTCTATTATTAATTTATTTTTATCTTATGTGTATGAGTGTTTTGCCTGAATATAAGTGCACCTGTGACATGCAATGCCTGTGGAGGCCAGAAGAGGGCATCAGATCCCTCGGAACTGGAGTTAGCTGCCATGTGCTAGGAATTGAACCCAGGTTCTCTGTGTGTGCAGCCAGTGCTCTTAACCTCTAAGCCCTCTCTCCAGCCCAAAAGAAACCCTTTCTAAGTTGCTTTTTTTCAGGATATATATATATATATATTTTTTTTTTTTTAGTCTTTTTGAGACAAGGTCTCCCTGTAGCCCCAGCTGTCCTGGAACTCACTATGTAGACCTTGAACTCACAGAGATCCACCTGCCTCTGCCTCCTGAGTGCTGGGATTAAAGGTGTGCGCCACCACGCCCGGCTTGTCAGGCGTATTTTTATGCTAACAACGTAGTTTTTATGAAACTGTGACACCTCCCTGGCTTCTTGTCTCAGTGCTCCCTCCTACCCAGTACCTTCCCACTCTCATTCCTCACTATCTGGTATCCTCCAGGAATCCAGAGCCCCAAACCATCCCCAGAGACACCCTGGGGTCTTCAGATCTGTCTGCTTGCCAGTCTTTGAAATCGTGCCTGGCCTATACCGAAGAAGCCCGGCAACCTCTCTCCCCACAGCACTGGGCTGAGCACCCCTGTGGGAAGACAGCTAAAGAGGTTCAAGATGGTTCTGGGTGGCAGAAGTCAGTGGTTCTGTGGTCCTGTGAGAATTAGGGAGCTTGAGCAGTTAGAACCTTCTGCTTATGGATGTTGGTATGACCTTTTCCACGCCCATCACATGTGGGGAACACATCATCTCCCAGCTCTGTGCTAACAGATCACACAGCCCCTCTCCTCACCTGCCCTGGAATGGTTTGTTTCATTCAGCTGTTTCATCTCAGCTGGATCCAGGACAAGCCCATGGCAACACTCAGTTATCTCCAATTCAGCTATAAGCTGAAGGCCACAGGGCACAATGGCCCCCTCCCCATAGGGTCACGGCCAATTGTAGTGACAAAGGGTCTTTATGAGCCACAGCCTCTGATCCTATGGCTTGAGTCACTGAAGCTCTTGAACCTATCTGGGGACTGAGCCCTTGTCTTTGCTCCACACCTTTGTGTTCAACAGCCTCCTAAGCTTTTCCACCCACATGAACAATTCACTGTGACACAACATTGATTTATGATTTTGGAGCCAAACTTCTTTCTCCTTTGAACACAGAGCTGACCCAGTGCCAGGGATGGAAATTAGGAAGTTTTTCTGGATCAATTCTCTCCTGTACCCTCAAATATAATGAGAGACCACAAACTGACAAAGGTGCCTTCTACCCAGTTCCTGCTCTTCTTTTGACATGCTCTCTCTTTCCTGGATGGTCACAAATGATCCTACCTGGTCCTTCCACCACCAAACGACCTTTTTCTTTTTTATTTTTATTTTCTCAAATGGTCTTTTTCTAATCGTCTTTTTAAAATATACTATTGTGTGTATGTTCTTATGTGTGGAGACCAGAAGTCAACTTCAGGTGTCTTCTTCAATCCTTCTCCACCTATGTTTTTTAAAAAAGATTTGTTTAAATTTTAACTTTATGTGTATGCATGTTTTCCCTGCATGTATGTAAGTGCACTAGTGTTATGCAATGCCCATGGAGGCCAGAAGAGGGCATTGGATCCCCTGGAACTGGAGTTATGGACAGTTGTTTGCTGCCATGTGGGTGCTGGGAACTGAACCTGGGTCCTCTGCAAGAGCAGCCAGTGGCCAGCAAACCTCAGGGATTCATCTACCTGCCTCTACTTCGAGCCCCTGGATTACAGGTATGCACCACCACACCTGACTCTTTACGTGGGTGCTGGGACTCAAACTTAGGTCCTCATGCTTGCAAGCAAGCCCTCTACTGACTGAGCTATCTCTCCAGCCTCACTGGTTCTTTGGAGACCAGGTCTCTCTGTATAGCCTAGGCTAGTTCAGACTCATGGTCCCCTGCCTCAAACTTCTGAGTGCTGGGTTTACAAGTACACATTACCACACATGACTCCTTCTAATGACTTTTTTTTTCTGTCTTTTTGAGACAGTGTCTCCCTGTAGCCCCAGCTGTCCTGGAACATGCTTATGGAGAGCAGGTTGGCCTCCATCCCATACAGATCTGCCTGCCTCTGCCTCCTGAGTGCTGGGATTAAAGGTGTGCACAACCATGCCTGGCCTCTAATGGTTTCTTCCTACTGTTAACTATACAGAAATTTTTCTCAAGTTGTCTTATCCTTGCTTCACTATCTCCTCTTTTGCTCTCAGGATGACTCCACATCCCTCAGCCCAACCCTAACACCCTCCACAATGTCACATCCAGTTTTACTTCCCATCACTCTCCTCTGTGCACTGTGACCCTGGACTGGGTAAAGGATTCTCTTCCCCTCTGCACCCTATCTTCCCTGCTGTCTCTTTTCCTGGAATTCCCTGGAATTCTCATATTGTCTATTTGGGAAAGTTCAGGCTGAAGATGCAGCTCAGATGCAGAGAACTCATCTAGAATCCCCCAGTGAGGGGCTGGTGTGTCTCAGTGGTAGAGGACCTGCCTAGAATCCCCAGTGAGGGGCTGGGGTGTGGCTCAGTGGTAGAGCACCTGCCTAGAATCCCCCAGTAAGGAGCTAGGGGTGTGACTCAGTGGTAGAGCACCTGCCTAGAATCCCCCAGTGAGGGGCTGGGGTGTGTCTCAGTGGTAGAGCACCTGCCTAGAATCCCCCAGTGAGGGGCTGGGGTGTGGCTCAGTGGTAGAGCACTTACTTGTCTAGCTTGAATGAGGCTAAAACAAAACCAAACACAAACAGAAAAACTAGACTGCCTGAAAAGTTCAACTTATTCTCCAGGGTTGCCCTCATATATCTGTCCCAGGCAGGCTGGGTGCTACCCTCTAATGACACAGTTGCTGCAGCAGCACTAATAACATCAGCTTTCTGGGATGAAGGATCTGAGTTGTGTCTGTGTTGTTTGCTGAATTATTGAAAGTAGAGGGCTCAGCAGCTTGGTTCTTGTTTTGCCCCCATCTGTGCCTCCCCTCATTTACCCTAGTTACCACCCCTCAGCTGAGGTTCCAGCCCTGGAATATCAGAGACCCCTGATACCACCTTTATCACAGTAATTGCTCCAAATACTGCTGAATCTTCCCTAAAAAGGTGCTTTGTACTTTCCATTAGTGTGACCATCAAACTCAGCTGGGAATTTGCAACTAATCATTCTTCTGTTGAATACTTCCCTGAGCTATTAGAACCAGATCCATCTCCATACTCAGTCATTGAAAGACATGTATGTCACATATGATGTGCAATTTTTTCCTTTCTATTCTCCAAGTCTTAACATTTTCCTTCACTACTACCATAACTATCACCCTTATTACCATCATTTTCATCACCATTTCATCACCACCACCACCATCACACCATCATTACCATCATCATCATCACCATTGTCATCGTTGTCATCATCATCATCACTATTACCATCATCTCCATCATTACCATTGTCACCATCATCATCACCACCACCACCACCACCACCACCACCACCATCATAATCATCATCATTTGTGATGCTGTGAATGGAACCCAGAACCTTTTGTGCATGCTAGGCATCCCCTGAGTGGTTTTGAGACAAGGTCTCACTATAAAGCCCAGGCTGGCCTTGAACTCTCAATCCTTCGGCCTCAGTCTCTTGAGTATTGGGATTGAAGTCATGTGACACCTCATCTTTTGAGGCTAAACAAATGTTCTGTGACTCAGCTACATCTCCAGTCACTTTTGTCCTTTAAAAACTAACATAAGTTCTGGGGCTGAAGAGATGGATCAATCAATAAAGTACTTCTTATGAAGCATGAGGACCTTAATTCAATCCTAAGAATCATTTTTTTTTGGGATAGGGTCTTCCCGTAGCCAGCTGGCCTGGAACTCACTGTGTAGACCAGGCTGGCCTCAATCTTAGAGATCTACCTGCCACTGCCTCCTGGGTGCTGGGCCTAAAGGTATTCACCACCACACCCAGCTTAGAACCCATCTTAAAAAAAGTTAAGTGTGGTGATGCACACCTATAATCCCAGTACTGGGGAAGCAGAAACAGGTGGATCCCTGAGGCTGTCTGGGCAGCCAGTGTAGTCTAATTGGTGAACTTCTGGCCAACAGGAGACTCTGTCTCGAAACAATGACCAAAACCCAAGGTGGATGGTTCCTGAGGAATGATGGCCAAGATTGACCTCTGGTTTCCTCACACACAAGTGTATCCATACACATATGTGCACCTGCACACACTCAAACATGCACATATGCACATAGGTCCTCTCCCAACCTCCCTCAAGGGTCTCACTCACCTACCTTCAATGCCATGAGACCGATAGAGCAGGCTGAAGTAGGGCTGGAGGACCATCAGTGGAGCTGTCCTTGGTAATTAGCCAGTGGTCCCTTTCCTTGCTGGAGTCTCAAAATAGATGAAGGGCATTTTGCAGAGCTCAAACCAGCAGCTTCAGCACTGAGAACCATGAGCTCCATCCTCTGAGGGGCCACCTGTACAATGGGAGTCAGACCAGATGGCCTTTATGTCTCTTCTACTTCTACTATTTTATGGCACTATCAAAAGTCGTATTTGGCCTGGTGAGATGGCTCAGTGGATAAAGGCACTTGCTGCCGAGGCTGGTGACCTGAGTTCAGTACTTGGAACCCACACGCTGGAAGGAGAGAACTGACTCCCACAAGTTGTTCTCTAACCTCCACACATGCGTATGTACACAGACACAGACACACTAAATAAATCAATGAATGAATGAATGTAATTTTTTTTGTATTTTTGAGACAGGGTCTCCCTGTAGTCCCAGTTGGCCTGGAGCTTGCTATGTAGACCAGGCTGGCCTCAAACTTACAGAGATCCGCCTGCCACCATGCCTGGCCAAATGTAATTTTTTAAAAAAAGTTGTGTTTTTGGTTGTTTTTATTTCCAAAGTAAACATCTTTAAAAACTAACTGACTAATGAACTAACATGCATTTGCTTGTGAGCATAAGTGTGGAGGCCAGAGGTCAATTTCAGGAGTATTCTTCAGTCTCTCTCCACCTTTGAGAAAGGGCCTCTCACTGAGCCTGGAGCTCACTGACTTGGCTAGACTGGCTGGTTATCAAGCCCCTTTCTCTACCTCCCCAGCACTGGGGTTACAGACACACAATGCCACACCTGGCTGTTATGTGGGTTCTGGGAATCTGAATTCAGGTTTTCAAGCTTGCATGACAAGGATTTTGCCCACTGCGCCATCTCTCCCAGCCTCATCTTTTTATTTTTAAAGATATTTTAAGCTTCTCAAAAAAATTAAAAATAGACATGGTAGCACATGCCTGTAATCCCACCACTGGGGAGGTTGAGGCAGGAAGATCATTCAAGGGCAGCCTGGCTCAATAATGAGTCCCTGTCTCAAAACAACAAAGGAGCTGGTGAGATTGCTCAGAGGGGAGAGGCACCAGCCTGATGACCTGAGTTCTGTCCCCAGAACCCACATAGTGGAAGGAGAGCACTGACTCCTGCAAGTTGTCCTCTGATTTCCACATGTGGGCTATGGCACACACACACACACACACACACACACACACACACACACACGAGTAAGTAAATGTAAAAAGAAGACTTTCTAGCTGTACCAATGTGTGTTAAGTGTTTATTTATACCTGTGTGCACATTGCATGCAGCTCTGGGGCAGCCTCAGATAACAGTGAACTCTGGGACAGAGTTTGGTCTTTGATGTACATTTTATTACTAGTACTATCATTATTTTTTATGTTATCATGTAGCTCAAGCTGACCTAGAACTTGCTATGTAGCTGAGGCTGACCTTGAACTCCTGATCCTCTTGCCTCCTCTTCCTGAGTGCTGGGATGACAGGCATGTGCTGCCATGCCTGGTTAATGAGCTTGCAAAGCCAGTGCTCCCCCAACTGGCCACATTGTCAGTCCTCTAATCTCGCATGTCATGTTACCCTAGTCACGATTTCCCCCTGGGGGTTAGACTTCTCACGTGTCCCCTCTGATGAGGCATTTGGACTCAGGAGCAGATTCAATCCAGACCTTAGCAGCTGTCAGAGCTCAGAGAAAAAAATTTCATCTTAAGCACCAACAGCAGCATCTTCAGCCCCACAGGATAGTGTCAGTGAGTATTTTAATTGAGGTGTGTGATGCATCAAGCAGAGGGGTCCCTACGTTTAGGAAGTACTAATGGCTAAGAAAATTTACCAGGACTGGCAAGATGGCTCAGCTGGTGAAGGTGCTTGCTGCCAAGTCTAACAACCTGAGTTCGATCTCTGGGATTCCCAAGCTGGAAGGAGAGAAACAACTCCGGCAAGTTGTCTTCTGTCCTCTATGCTTATGCCATGGTATGTGCATGACCACACATATATACAAACACAAACAAAACAACACACTAAATAAATGTAATTAAAAATTAAAAGAAAACACCAACATATTAAGGTGTATTCAGTCATTCTCTTTGCTTCCTGTTCACCAATCACCTGCTACATCTGCCTTAGATGGAGATCCCAGAGTCTCTCACTTATTGGAGAGATGGAGGGTATAGCAGGAGACAGAGATGGAAGCGTGTGGGCCAGGGTGGCAGAGGCTGTAACATGCCCAGATCTCATTCACCTGTTGCTCGGATGCCAAGACCCAGACTTGTTTTTTAATTTTTATTTATTTTTATTTTATATGTATGAGTGTTTTGCCTGGTAACTATACCACATGCATACAACACCCACAGAGGCCAGAAGAAGACATCATTTCTTCTGGAACTGGAGTTCTAGATGATTGTTAGGCCACCATGTCAGTGCTGGGAACTGAACCTGGGCCTTCCATAAGAGCAACTAGTGTTCTTAACTGCTGAGCCATCATTCCAGAATCCAAGAGATCCAGGTTTAAGATTCTTTCTAAGGCTCTACTCCTGGAAATAGGGAGATGGCTTAGTGGGTAAAATGCTTGCTATTGGAGTCTGAGGACCTGAGTTCAATCCCTAGAACCCACGAAGAACCAGATGCAGCAGCCCATGAATTTAAGATCCTAGACCTCCTATGATGGGATGTGGAGACAGGAGGAGTTCTGGAAGCTGGTGGTCAGCTGGCCTTGTGTACATAGTAGTGAACAAAAAAATTCTGCCTCAAAACAAGGTGGAAGGTGAGGACTGACATCAAGGTTGTTCTCTAACCTCCGCATATGCACCGTGGAATACACACACACACACACACACACACACATGCACGCACACATGCACGCACGCACGCACACACGCACACTTTCCAGCCTTGGTCCCTCATTCCCATCCCTCTCCACAGTTCCACGCTTTCCTGGATCCTGACATTGTCTCCAACTTCTGTTCATCTGTGATGTTTCCACATTCCCTCTAAACACTGAAGGGAACGAACAAGAAACTGGAGCAGTGAACACCACTCCATCACAACCTCTGCTATTCACCGAGCCCTTCGGTGAATTCAATGTGCAAGTGGTGTTCTAGGTACTACTCAGGCACAATAGCATTTCCCACACAGCCATAACTTACAATAGCTGTCTGCAGCTAAAGTGTAGTCATTACCGTTGATTTACAGACAGGGAGGCCAAGACCACAGAGGCTGGCTTACTGAAGGGAAGTCATACCGCTTCTCCCTGCACCGGGATTTGTCTTGGGGCTGACACCAAAGTGCGCTCTTATGGAGGCGAGCCTGCTGTATTTCTGTGTCTCTCTTTCCTGTTTGTATCGATCCAGCTACCTGAGGGGAAATGAAGAGCATGAAAGAAAGAAGAAGCAGAAGACTTTGAGGCGCGCGCACGCGCACACACACACACACACACACACACACACACGTGTAGAACTGGAAAGAGGCCCATACAGAGGGTGTGCGAGCCAGGGGTGTGCCCACTCACAGAAAAAGGCAAGCAGCTGAGAGTGAAGATGTGAGCCATTGATGGAGCAGCCCAGGTCAAGCCACCAGGCAGGCTCAGGGCTGCAGAGTCCAGGTAGGAGGCAGAGGGAGGGAGACTGAGAGGGAAAGATGAGAGAGGGATAGAGAGAGATGAGAGACTTGAGAAACTGAGAGAGGTGAAAGATGAGGGGGAGAGAGACTGAGAGGAAAAGATGAGGAAAGAGAAGAGAGATTGATAATGATGAGAGAAGCGAGATTGAGAGGGAAAAAGAGAGGAGAGTAGAAAGGAGAGAGAAGGGAAGAGCGAGTGAGGAGAGTTTGAGAAGGAAATGTGAGCTGGATGGGAGAGATGAAGAGAAGGGAGTGAGTGGGAAAGATGAGAAGAGAACGGAGGAGAGAGACACGAGGTGAGAGAGAGAAGAGGAAAGAGAATTGAGAAAGAGTCATGAAGAGAGTGAGATAAGTGCCATGGAGAAAGAGAGAGAGAGAGAGAGAGAGAGAGAGAGAGAGAGAGAGAGAGAGAGAGAGAGAGAAACCATGGGGTCCTCTGCATCACACCATTCAACATGGGCTGGCTGGTAAATCATACTGGAAACTTTGAACCTCAATCCCTGGCATGAATACCCCACAAAGTGCCATCTTCCATGAACTCTTCCCTGCCAACCCTGGAGGGGACCCTTAATTCCAGCCCTCTTTGGCTCCCAGCATTTTCCTTGGCCAAGGAAATGCTGCTCACATACCTGCTCTAGAGGCAGTAGAAATCAGACTAAGTACTTCAAGTTAGTATTAAGGAGGTGACTGGGGTCCTGGTTAGAAGTCCACATTCAAACCATCACAATATGACCCACCATAGTTTTTTTTTTTTTTTTAAATCTCTCCCACAATGACCCAAATATGTTATGGTCAACAATTTCTCCCTGAATTTGTATGCATGTTTCCAACATCATAATGCCATTTTCCCACCTGGAGATGTGCTCATTCTTTAAAGCCCACATCAAAATAAAAACAGAACTGAAAATAATATAAACAAAAATAACAAACTGTCAACATCAGTCATGGAAGGCCTTTGTAGAAAATAGAAGCAGACTGACCTGATCACATCTTTATCTTCTGTCTCCCTTGATATTTCAACTTCTATTCCCAGAAAAGGGGAGGTTCTTACTCTAAAGAAGGAAAGACATGCTTAATAGGTTTCCCAGGGCCCACTTAAGGGTCTGGTTTCATTTAAAGCCCAAAGGTCTTGTTAGCATCTTTCCCCCTACTGTGTTGCCTAAGGAGTGTGAGGGTCTCAAAAAAATGAGGCTTGAGGGATGAGAGGAAGAGAACTTGGGAAATCAGAACTTCAGTGTCTTGGGAGAATCTGAAACTTTAGGGCTAAGGAGACAGGGAGGCCACCTCTGTGCCAGTGATGTCAGCAGTAAGAGTTGGGATGAACTTGAACCCAGAGGAATGAGTAACTCAAAGCACTTTGCTAGCAGTTCCCTGG